ATATAAGTCTTAATAGTGAACGTGGTTCGGCCGTCTGAATGCCGAACTCTAAATCCCACTTGAGAGTATCCAATCATAAAATAACTCGACGTGCAATACGCCGAGCTCAGTAAGCTGTAACACATCACCTCGTCGAGAAGGTTAATGAGATGACCTCGATCAATAAGGATTCAGAAATCCTTCTCGACCAAGACTTGGATAGGTAACCAACCGTCCTCGCCGCAGTGCTGTTGATGCCAACGGAAGATGCTGCGAGATCGGCTGATTCTACGGTGACAGAGCTATCTATACCGACTGAAGATATCACCGATTGTTTTCACAGTGTTGTTGATGCCAACGGAAGATGTGTCAGCGAAAAGAGAAAATAAAAAAAATCTCAAAGTTGTTGAGAGAGTTTGCGTAGGGCAGTTGTGTGTTAAGTTGGGGGGGTTGAACAATGCACAGCCTTTTCTATTTATAGTATCAGATACTTCCTAAGTAGAGTTAATCCGAGTAGTTAAACCCTACTCGGATTAGGACTTCTTCTTCTAATCAAAAACCATCTCGAGTACTCCTACTCCCATCAGGATTTTGGACCTAGCCTTTCTATCAGGCCGTATTCAAAATGTGTCTCGACCTCCTCATCTCACTGGGACTCCTTATCACATCAGGATTTCTGTTAAACGCAGAATTTCCCACTCATCTTCCTTATCCAGACCGCTCCCTTTCCTAATGGGGCTCGACCGACTCTAATTAAGCGGCCCATGAACAAGACGACCCCTAACAATAAATCCTTTCGGGCCGAGAATGATTCCACACTCGGCCCAAACCAATATTTTGGGCCTAAACAGGATGTAACTTATGCCCATGTGAAGATTTGAGGATACTGCGCATCATGTCACGTCCAGGATGTCCCAAACAATCATGTCAAAGCAACAAAGTGTCTAGGAACTCAGGCATAGGGTCGGCCACACTATGGGCTTCTATGCCGCGAATGGTTGTGATGTACAACCCACTCAGCAGGCGTTCCAACTTCTCGTGAATATGCTTATGGCCATATTCATATGAAGTGATACAAAGAAATTCAGAACCATGATCTTCAGTGGTTTCAAGATGATATTTATTATCTCGAATATCTCTAAAACTCACCAACGGTCTTCCGGAACGTGAAGAATATAGTGCCTCCTTAATGGTCAGAATTGTCCCATTAGACAACATGATGCGTGCCTTTCCGTATCCTTCAATCAGATTGGATGAGCCTGATAAAGTTGTCAAATGAGCTTTCTTGGGTATGAAGTTAGTAAAATAGTGGCGTTCACGCAAGATGGTGTGCGTGGTTGCACTATCTGCCAGACAACTAACTTCCCCACTAGACATACCTAGAAATAAATTGATTGAATTGGTCACATGTATAAATATAAGTCCATTCATTCAATTAAGCAATTCGAGAAAATAATATCCATTCAAATAACAATCCATAATTCAAAACAAACCAAAACCAAACAAATTATTTCAAATACTTAGAAAAATTGTTCAAAATTAAACCATAAACCTAGCAAAATAGGGGGTAGGGCCGGCCATTCCTAGTGGGTTCGGCCACTAGGGGTAAACATCCTAAATACATGTATTTTATTCATCCATAGGCGTTGATGCCTCCTGGAAATCCAATATCTCCATTGATGTAGTTGCATCTTCCAGATGATCCACATGTGCAAAGTTAGACTCACGACGGGAATGGTACTTGGCAATAGCCTCAGGGGAAGCTCAGCATACGCGTGACCAATGATCCCTTAATCCACAATGATAGCACATGTCCAGTTCAGTAGAAGCAGCCTGAACGGGAGGTTTGCCCTTGTTCTTGAAGTTTGGGACCTTAAGGGCGAGTGGTGGACGTTGCTGGGTCGTAATTCTTCCCTTGGGTGCGGCACTTTATTGACCTTGGGCTCGTGGTTAGGCTTGCCGCCCATTGCCACGGCCACGACGGTTCTTTCGTCGTTTCTGGCTACTAGAATAGATCGCATGCACTTCAGGCGCAGCATTCGAGCCATTAGGTCGAGCTTGATTAATCTTCATCAAAAGTTGGTTCTGCTTTTCAGCGAAAAGTAAAACAGAGATCAAATTTGAAAACTTGGTGAATTTCTGTGCCCTATATTGTTGCTGCAGGACAATATTTGTGGCATGAAAGGTCGAATAGGTCTTCTCTAGGAGATCTGATTCGGTTAGTTCCACTTTGCAGAATTTCAACAGCTAACGGATTCTACAAACTTCAGAGTTGTATTCATTCACAGACTTAAAGTTCTAAAAGGGAAGATGCTGCCAGTCGTGTCTTGCTTCAGGCAAGTATATGTCTTTCTGGTGATCGAAACGGTCGACCAAAGCAAGTCAGAAGGTGCGTGGGTCCTCCTCAGCGAGATACTTAGTCTGCAGTGCATCATGAATGTGTCTTCGGATGAAGATCATTGTAGTAGCCTTCTGAGCTTCGTCAACAGGTTTGTCGGTGATAGGTGTCTCGATGGTGGATCTAATACCCTTTGCAGTGAGATGGAGCTTCACATCTTGAACCCACTTCAGATAGTTTCTTCCAGAGACTTCTAGAGCGGAGAAATCGAGCTTGTTCAAGTTCGACATGTCCCTAAAACGGAGGGAGAAAACGTGATTAGTCATATGGTAAGCCATAGACATATATCGTAAAACATACAGGTTCTTTAGACATGTATTGGTTTAATTTATGCATGAAAACTAGGGGTTTCATGTGGTATGTTTTGAATGAAAACTTCAAGTTTCAATGACACTAAATTTGAAACTACAGGTTCAATTTAGTTTTATGAACAATTAGTTCATAATGAGAGGTTCCAGCAAGAAACACATAATGCAATATACTAACTAAGTGTAATGGATTTGAGTTGTCTTCGGGAACTCAAGTGTGAGAGCTTCGTTACTACGAAAGTATGTGACGGTTCAAAGTATAAAATAAATTATTGAATTGTTAATGTCCAAAAGTGATCTTCAGGTCAATAATTTTGAATTCATTATCAGATTAATGGACTGCAAGTCACTTTTAATTAATTCAATAAATCGGGCCATACAAGGTCGATTGTATAAGCAAAATAATATTAACATACGGGTTAAATTATTTTAGAATGCTAAAATAATAGCATTTGGTCGAAAAATATGCCCCAAAAAATAATTTGGGCTTGGGTGGGTGTCTTAAGCATAAGACACGGCCCAAAAAAAAAACTTGGGTGGTGGCTGCAGGCCACGAGGTGCAAGAAATCCCCCAGTCGTAGCTAGGTTGTCGTTTGGGCCGAATGAGGGTGCTCGGGACAAGGCCCAGCAGCAACTGGCCTTGTGAGTGATGCACGAGAGGACAAAACAAACCCAGGCCGTGGACTGGCATGTGCGTGCGGGACAAGAACCCAGCAAGCAAAGCTTGCCATGGGTTTGGTATGGGTCCAGGAAAGCTGCAGGCTTTCCACAAAGAAAGAACTAGGGCTACAGGCCTATTCCAATCAATCAGGCCGAAGGTCTGAGGGTCTAAGTAGATGCAGCAGAGCCTAGGGGGCTGCTGCCCAGTTTGTGCCACAAGGATGGTGTCCAATTTTCCCAAAATTTTCGAAATTGTTAGGGTTCTACAAACCCTAATATGCTTCTAATTTAATTTTATGCTTTGACTCACAAATTCCACATAACAATTTAATTGTGTGATGCATGAAACAAATATATATATTGACAAATATATGAACATATACAATATATATCGAAAGGAAAATATAAACATAGAGGGGTTCATGCATCATGGGGAATGTTTTCATACTTCGTGGACGTTTCAAATATCTTCTTTTATTTTAAGCGTACCTAATTAGCGGAAAACGAATAAACCTTTGAATTGGGTGGATGATAGCCTCCTCCAACGATGCGTCAATTCCTTAGCTTCTAGCAAGAGTGTGCTGATAACGTGTTGTAAGCCTATTTGATTGAGCGATCCAGGGTTAGAGAGAGAGGGGTGCGGCAAGCTTTAGGGAGAAGAGAGATTGATTTAATTGTGAGGTGTGTTTGATTCACCCCATTGTGCCTTTATTTATAGTAGTATAAAGGGTAAAACCTTTCCCTTTAGGATTACAACATTTAATAGATAATCTAGTCCTAATAGGAATATAAGATACATTCCCAGATTCCCTAGGATTTACACAATCACTTTCCTATTCTAAATATGACTGTAACAGATTATATGATGTTTATCCTTTTTTTTGTTGGAATGTTATGAGAATATCCATAAAAATATGCTTATCTATAAATAATAAACACAAAAAGATGCTTATCTATCTATCTAATAAATAATATAAAAAATAAAAGTGAATAAAAAAAAGATAGCGAGGTAATAAATGTTAACAAAGTAGAGACTATTTAAATTTAAAAGAGAAAAAAATTATTGAAAAAAGAAAGCCCTCGCCGTCTGTCTTCTTCATCTTCTTCCCTGGTACGATTTTGCAACTTAGGTTTGTGGCTGGGCATGACTTTGGTTTGGGTATTTTATTTTTTTTAAAAAGGCAAAAATGGGAAAATACAACACTTGGAACGCCTTGAGACGTGCCTCCGCGGCCTAGGCGCGCTCCGGCAACGCCTTACGCCGCACCTGGAAAACAAAGGCAGCAAGCTACCTGCCTAACCTTCGAGACTGCCTAGGCGCACCCCGAGGTGAGCCTTTTAAACCACTAATATTATGACACTGGTATTAAAATGATTGAGCCACCCCACACAGGAAGTGCCTCACATGTTCAGAGCTGATCGATAATGTACAGAACTGTATAGTCTTCTTAGATTCCAGTTCCATAGTACGCAACAAAGGGAACCTTTTCGTTGTCCGCTAAAATTCTAAGCATTTAATGTACAGTCACTGCATGTTGTATGTAGAACAATGCATTCAGCCCAATGAACCGTGTTCGTAGCATACTGTGAAACCTATGTATGCTTTGTTCCTTGGTTGGTTCCAACTCGAACAAAATATCAGAGAATTAAAAGAGTAAAAGGATAAAAATCTCGAACTTAAATACACTGAAATTTATGTAACATGTTCAGCAAGATATTAGTCCTTCAGTAGTTCAAGAAAAAAGTACCAAAATGTAAAGTGCAACAAACTTACATGCGCGTAGGCAAGCAGTAGCAACAACACGGTTATTCTGTTTCTTTAGCTTCTTTCCAGCCAAGACCTGGCCTACAGATATTTCCCTGTGGTTCTTCATAACCTCGAGCATCACGTATTGTGGCTTCAAAGTCAGTAGAATCACTTGCAACGGGAAGAAAACTACTAATATCATCTCTAGCACCAAAGCCTCCAGCCCGCATAACATCATCAGATGTTATCGATGCCTCCATATTCACTTCAGCAGTTGCATCCTTATAAACAGAAGGTGCGTCATGTGTGAGATTAATTCCACCTCCCAAATCAATCAAGTTAGGCTGTACTCTATTGTCTAGTGAACTAGCGAAGGGTTCCAAAACATATCTTCCATCAGCCTTTGATAGATTGGAATCAGCTACTTCATTCCTTGTCTTGGTTTCGTTCTTATCTGGAGTCAAATCTCAAAAACCTTTAACAAAGAAAGCTAGCATGTTTATTAGTCTAGTTACATGAAAAAGACATCAAATATTAAAAAACTAATAGTATTATATATGGTGAGAAAATCCAATAGAGACAGAATAATAACAGTTCAATAACAATTCAGGAAAGCATAGCCTACAACAACATAGCAGCAAAGCCTTATCCCATTATGTGGGGTTGGCTATATGAATCCTAGAACACATAGCCTAAATAAAGACAATTGCAACTGTAAGTAAAAATAGAGACAATTCAGTGTCATCCTATATTATAAAATAACAACCAAAGGTTAATATGGAACTAATGCCAAATGCGAAAATGACGGATTTAATAGGAAATGATCATATGATACTGTTCGGCCTGGAATGTGCCTCACACAACTTTCCCTCAATTTTGGTCCAAACAGATACCGAAAAAGGAAACATGGAAGACGAGTTCAGTATGACAAAACTGCAAATATCTACAGAGGCGGCATTTCTATGTGAGTAGTTTAAATGTGCAATTCTTTGCCACATGATTAATCCTATTTTAACTGTTGAAACAACCTATAAGGAAAGCCATGATCTTATTTTGTAATGTTAATGACATAGTTCCATAAAGTTTATCTAAAAGCATAACCAGAAATATAGGACAGCCCCCGTCTTAAGTCAGTTCCTCTAATCCTACTTCAGATGTTAGAAATTACCGGAATTTGACAGATGCTGACAACCTAAACAGAACTGCATGCTTAACATTATTATTAGTTATGTTAATGCTTGGAGAACAATTACATACGAGAATTGCTTGAAATATGCATGATAAGGAAGCAGATACCATGTACAACTTCATCTTGCTTGGACTCCATGATGGATCAAATCTTGCAATTGTTCTTCTAGTTTAGTTCTTGAAACCTAATAAAAGAACGGTTATTGGAAGGCTCCAATGAACAATATGAAGTATATACTAACCTTAATATCTGGAAACATGGAGCAAACCAAAAAAACGTTTTCTCATATTACCAACAATTTCTTATGCAAGAAGATATGGCCACACATCAGTTACAAGCACATGAGAAGTAAAAACACTTGCAAGTACGAAAAAAACTGAAACTTCACACTGAATTGGCATGGAAATTGTAGATGCTTTAAATAGGTAAGGGGACGCAACAACTTGGCAGACTGACCAACTCCTACACCATTTTGCAGACAAAGTTAGCAGCAGGATCCATCTGAACCATGGTTAGTCCTTTATGTTGAACAAAGTAGCGGTCTACAGCACAGATTACTAATCTAAACACCAGAGCATTTTAAGCAAGCAAGACTGTTATAGCCACAGACAGCTGGCTAGAAGGTCTCACATTGTTAAGCAGCATTCTCTTCTTTACCATAATCCAAACACCATATTCTCTTCTAACCATAATAGTCGAGCACAATGAATTACTGGTAAACTACCTTGAAGTACCCTATTAGTAAGTGGTGTAGTGCGCCACTTATACTGTAACAAGTAATAACAAGTTGTGGAGATTTCAGAGGTTATTCTGATAGTCCACAATGACAAGATAATTATTCAGTCATTGAATTATAAAAGGAGAGGAAGAAATGTCCAAGGATATTCTGGAGGATCATGCGGAGCTATATATCTTGAAGCAGGTAAGTTCACAGTTGTGTAATAATCCACGATAAAACTTTATCAAGGGTGGCATACATTACTATCAGAAGATGCATGGGAGAATTACATGAATACACAGAGAATATGATCAAAGTGTAATAGATAGAACGGAAGTCCAAAAGGTAAAAAAAATATGCATAAAGCATGAATTAGTGTATCATTAAGTGCAAGAAGAAGATTAAAAAATAAGAGTTTTAAACATAACATGAGATAAGTGGACAACACCGACTAAAACAAAGGAAAAAAAAAAACTGCATTTGAGACAGAACGCCTATGCAGTCAAATGAATCGTACCCAAAGGAACATCGACGTTCCTGACGAAGTACCCTTCATAAAATTTTCAAGGACTTCACTTTTGAGTGCGCAACACATTTAATTTTCAAATTTGATAATCCCTAAATCCTAAACCCTAAGCAACATATGTTAGTTTTGAATGAGAAATACTGAACCCCTATTAGAATTAAAATTTCTTAACTCCCTACCCTTTCCCAAATTTTTTCCATTTTCCCTAATTCTCTTACAACCTGCATCCTGTGAAATCCAGATGAGGTAACTCACAATCATGGTTTGTTTGGCTGCCAAAAAAACAGACAACAAGACTGGAAATCAAAGAAAAAAAACATAACCAACCCAAATACTAGAACCAAATAACTTACCAAACAACAAAAACCCAAGTAACTGCGAAATCTCATCAACCATATGTTTCTGGAAGATTCATTTATTTTCTCAGCAAACAAACAGAGGTACATTTCATCTGCTTTTATATGCACACATACATATGCATTGAACACGTATTTATAAATATATATATATATATATGATACCTGGAATTTGAAGGAAGAGAAGAGATCCGCTTTTTGGTCTGGTTTTTCACTACCTTCTTGTTCGGAGACTAGGGAGCAAAGAGATGGTTTATAGACTTATCGAGGGCCTTGTTTGTCTGATATTTGTATTGAATAACGTTGGTCGATCAGCGTCAGAACTTGAATTCAACGTGTCATCTGCCTTATAGGACACGTTTCGAGTGGTTGACAACAGCTGGTGAGAAATCATTGGTAGTCGAGTGGGTATAGATTTGGTTCCGGCTGGCTCTAGATATTTATAGATACTAGAATGTGACTTGAAGTGAACTAGATCGTTGCTTAGGTTGGTTTGATACCTTCGGATTTGATTTAGGGCAAGTTTGGTATTGTTGTGTTTTTTAAGAAAAAATTATTTTTGTTGTGTTGTAAAAATAATCAACGGTAAAATAAAGCAGTTAAGTGTCAGATCTACTTTTATTGTAAAAATACTTTTAACAAAAAAAACAATATTCAATTGTTTGGTAAACTTTATATAATACTGTTGTAACTATATTAAATGACTAAAAAGTATAATATTAAATGTAATATAATAATTATTTTATTTTTTATTTATAATTTCATCCACGATCTTCATCAGTTTCTGGTCACAGCTCAAGATCCAAATCCCTCCCCTCCAACCCTCTGTTCCCTCCCCTTCCCAATCACCAAAATCGCCGATCCTCGAGAGAGAGAGAGCAAGAAATTCCGAGCTTCCGAATCTCTCGAACTCCATGATCGGATTCCAATCAGCCAATCCATCCAATCAATTTTGAAAAAACCCAGAAAAAAACAAAGAAAAAAAGGGGATGTGAAAGAAATGGCGGAAGCATCATCGGCGTCTGCGACAAAGTGGGATGAAGAGAAAGTAGAGATGCTGGACCAATTGCTAACTCGGCTAGCTCTCTGCGATGACTCCAACCTCCAACCCTTACTCTCCAAGCTTCTCCGCCTCACCATTTCCTCCCTTTCTTCTCAATCCTCCGCCGTCCGCAACAAGGTCAGAGTCAAACTCTCTCTCTCTCTCTCTCTCTCTCTCTCTCTCTCTCTCTCTCTCTCTCTCTCCATTCGCTTTGCTACTTTTTTCTGTCGGTGGTGGTCTTCAATTTCCGAAAAATAATTGCCACAAATATTGGTTTACTCGTATGTTTAGCTGAATTTGGTAATTGGGTTTTGAATCTATGGAAATTTTAATCTGGAATTGGATTTTGTTGTTTGGGGGCAGCTTCTTGAGATATTAAGTGAAGCAAGAAGGAGAAAGAGGGTATAATTGGGTTTGAGAAGCAGATGATGCTTCCATTTTTCTGCTTATTTTCGCTGGGCTTCGAAAAGAATCACTCATTTTTACAATTACCAAACACATTTTACACCCCAACTTTTTTTCATAGCTGCTTTTTTTTTAAATTTCAGCTGTGCCAAACTGCTATTTCGATGATGCATTTTAATGGGCTCTCTAGTAAAATTGAAGGAAAATAAGAAGAAGAAAAATCCAACTCCGATCACACCTTCATTCTTTCAATTTGAGTTCGAATTTGCTCACCACGCTTACTAGGTGATGAGCGTTTCCTTAAATTACACCACGTGTTAGTGGCTCAACTATTATTTTATACATTTGGCTTATTTTTTTGCAATGTCATTTAAAACTTGAACTTAATCTCAATTTTTAAAGGAAGCAAAACTATCGTTACTTTTTGTACAATAAACTTTATACGCATAAACTTTTATGGATCATAGTCAATTGTTCAAGCAGAACAACCAAGGGATACTCTTTGTCCATCAAACTAGGACAATGAGTTGTTGTACAGATGAGTCTGATTACATGATCTGCGTGGAGAGATTTTTCAGTGTAATCGGCACACGAGATGATACATTATGTGTCACTATATAAATAGTGGGATAAGTGTATTAAAAAGTTAATAACTTAAAAATAAAAAATTTCACTACTTACATAAAAATATATGGTATACCATCCGTATTTTAGTAACAATAAAAAATTTCTCACATCGTACTGGCTCATCAAAACCGAAAAGGATGCGCGACCCTGCATGACCTGACCGGTACCGTTAAAATTGTGCATGACCAGCATTTCTTGTCACAATGATGTTGTTTACTGGATCTGCGAAGCGACCAATGGTTACTTTTTTTTTTTTTTTTTTTTTTTTTGGAAAATGTGACCAATGGTTACTTGGAAGCGCGTTCACGATATGATTGTTGCCAATAGACAAAATTATTGTACATTTGACGTCATTTTGACGAAATAGACTGAATACTACAACAGTGGAGCGGAAAATAGATTTTAATCATTTTTATGGAACATAATTGATGTTTAAAGGACATGAATTTTTTTAACAACAAAAAGCTGTTTCAAGTAGACCTGGCATTTTGAACCCGATCCGATCCGTTAATCTTAATATTTGGGTGGATGTTTAATTGATCAGGTCATTAACGGATGAACCCGTTAACAACCCGTTAAATAACGGGTCATTTTGGGTCAATCCGTTAGACCTGTTAGCACTCATTAGGACCCGTTAGTTAAGGATGTTTTAGTAATTTTAGTAAAGTCTTAACAACAAAAAATAAACTCTATGAAAAAATAATAATAATAATAATTGTTAACGAGTGAAACGGGTTGGGTTCGGATGATCCGTTAACTTAACAAGTCAGATTGAATCCGATCCAAACCCGATAAATCCAATCCATTTACAGGTCTAGTTTCAAGTCCCAACAAGTACGAAAAATCTTGAAGGAGAACTAGACATTCCATATGATTTTGATAGCAATTCTAGATTGTTGACATGTGGACATTTTAAAACAGTGAGTGAAAAGGGTAGTTGACATGGTGTCAGTTTACACCAAGTTGTGCATGTGTAAAAAAAATTAAAAAATATATGAAAAAAAAAAGCTAACTTCTCATGCCATATATTTGTCAATGTCAAAGAGAAATACAAAGTGAACAAATAAACAACCAAATACCAAAAAGGACACTCTTAAATAGCTAGCAAACTCGGTTAATGTTGATGGGAGCAACATAGCTTCTTCTACGCTGTTGGATTTCCAACGGCTCTTTTTTCTAGATCGTCGGATTTCTATAAGTCAAGAAACATTGAAACATCTCTCAACGGGTATATGACGTGGCACAATCTGGACCGTTTGATTTTCAAATCAACGGTACACGTATTTCGACTTTAATTAAAAAAAAATCAAAAAAAAATCTGATATATTACCGTTAGGCCATGTGTCACAATCTGGATTGTTGGATTTCAAATTTTTTTAATCCAATGATCCAAATTAATTAAGTTAAAAAAAATTTAAAAAAAAATATTAAACATTAATTAAAAATCAAAAAAATTTGAAAAAAAATTATAATTTTTTTCCATAATTACCTTATAACATTATCTTCCACCTTAAGAATAATCACTTTCAACATTGGTTGGAAACTCTTAATTATAATGAGGAGGATGGTTTATCTTATTTAAGTAAAGGTGTTCTATTTTTTAGCAAATTTGGTTTGAAAGGAATAATCTAGTTTTAGGGGAGTTTCTTCGAACCATGTCAAGGGGGCTGCCATTGTCTGTAGTGTTAGGAAGGCCTTTTCGAACGCCAACAATAAGAAGTCTAGAGTGGATTCGAGTCATGCTAACAGTTACATCAAATGGATGCCTCCTAAGAAACGGATATGATTAAGCAAAACTTTGATGGCTCAGTGTGCAATGACAAAGCGTCGGCGACTTTTGTTCTTAGAGATTGTGGTGGTCAGGTGGTGGGAGCAGGATCCATCAACCTTGATGGAGCTACTATTACTTTTGCAGAGGAAATGAGCTTAAAGGAAGCTCTTGAGCTTTCTAAGGCTAAGGGCTTTCGGAAGTTAACTGTGGAGAGAGATTCCAAAGTGGTGATTGAAGTAGTGGTGGGTAATTGGGATGTTTCGAGGAAGATTAAAACTCTCATTAAAGAGGCTTGTCCAACCCCAGATTCGAGGTCGGTGGAATAAATAACCTCGCGCCCGGTGAGCGAATAAAAGTGAAAATAGTAAGAAATAATTACTTGAAAATCTCTTATATATCAGAACGTTTCAGTCACACTCTAACTTACGTTACAAAAAGTCCTCTATACTTTCCATGAAAGTTGACTACGTTTTCAGATCTCTATTTCACCTGTCAAATAATTCATAAAGGGGTGAGCTACTAGCTCAATAGGGCAATAACCACAATGCATTTAACACACTGGAGGCAATGATGATGCATGAATGTAGTGTTTCCTCTTCATTCTATTATGTTAACCCAATTAACAGATATTCTTGTTTCTTTTCTTTAGTCATCTTGTCAAACTCTCAGTCCCAAATTCAAAACCCGAATAGATCGTTTTATCTGACTCTAATCGAAAGGGCTTCCCTTATTTTGTGCACTTTGGGTTGAACATAAATCTTGGTGCCCCAATAGTGGACTCAACTACTTTTAGTTTAAATCACATACTTTCCCAATTTGGGACTCCAACAAATGATCATGTAATGATCATAGTTATTCAATTATACCGATCATTTCCCAATGAGTCCACAATGCATGATACAGTTATCGTTCATGATAATTATGAAACAATATTCAAATGACATTTCAAATCAATAATATTTTTGCAGAAATATTAACGAAATTAAGCATTTGAAATTTTGAATCATGTTATCAAGTAGTCATACAATTCCACCAATTCCTCGAGAATATCCGCTACCTGGATTCCAAGTTTAATGCTCCGACAATTCAGCATTCTCATCCAAATGTTGGCGTCTCTAGTTGCTGCCACGTGAAAATCAGCCACTTCTCATTTGCCATGTCGCACTCTCTCATCCGTTAAATTCAAAGTTCCACATAAAGTTCATTTAAGCCCCGAAAATTAATCTGAAATGTGCTACGAACTCGTAATATCGTTCACTATCTTCATATAAAAACCTTTTTGATAAATAAGCGCAATATATATTTTTTTTTCAAATATTTCTCTTCTTCGATAATAAATTTTTGGGGTTTCACAAGGCTCGGTTTATTGATGCTTCGTTCTGGTGGGTTGAGTGGAGGCATACCTTCCGTGAAACCAACTTTGTCACGGATGCTTTGGTGCATTTTGGGGTTTCTCTTACTTCGCCTCACATT